GAGGACCATGCCTGTACACAAACATTAACACAACAATAGTTAAAAAATATTAAAATTCGTTACATACTACGCCAACAAAACCTTCATCCCACAAAATAGAAAGAGAGGGAAAACGAGCAACGAGTTAAACAGACGATGAAGGGGTCTTTACATTGTCATCCATAAGTCTTTCCCTGGCTTTCATGGCCTTCATCACAAAAACCGCTACCACATGGGTAATACGTGGGTTTGCATCAACTAACAAAAATTTTACTCTATCTTCAGGATTGGTTATAGAGTTGGGTATAATTTGCAGCAATGCGTCTCTAAAGCCCGAGTAGATGGGGCAATAGAGGAGGTAATGTGTAAGATCCTCTTTAATTTTCATAAGGCAAGGGCATAAACGATGTTCTACTGGGGTTTTTGTGAATCTACCGGTCAGGTATGCAGTTGGCAGTGTTTGAAACCGTGCCATAGTGAAAGCTCTCCGAAGGGTGGGATCAGTGATCTCCACCAAGTAGTTGGCACAGATTTTGACTGCTTTTACTCGGGGAAACCAGTAGGAAAACCCAGAGTTTTTTATCTTTGTGGAGTCCAAAAAAGGCGTCTTTTTCAAAGATCCATTCCCGAACTTTATCAGGGCTCCACAATTTAAGGATATTAAACTCAGGTAGATTGTATCTGGATAGGATATCTAGTAGGTTTTTATGCCAAGTAGTATTATTTTGTAATGATACAAAGGCTTGTTTGGCCAATAAGGTGTTCGGGGCATCTGTGAGGTTGGTGAAAAAACGCAGGAATCTTAAGTGGGCCCTGGCAGACACAGAAGGTAATCCTACTTCCACTCTTAGGAGAGCTGCCGGAGTACTCTGAGGGAGGCCTAGAATTCTTCTGAGGTAAAAATTTTGGAAGATTTCAAGCCGTTCTAACAGCTTCTGATTCCATCCCCAGAGTTCTACTCCATATAGCATCTGGGGAATCACTTTTCCAACAAAAGCTTTTAATGCCGGGATCACCAGTTGCCCTCCCCTCGAATAAAAAAGCTGAGCAGAGCACCGATTGTCCTACGTGTTAGAAGGGCTACAGTCTTGAAGTGGGCAAGCCAGCTAGATGTAGCTTGGAAAGTGATACCAAGATATTTAAAAAAAGGACACTGTTCAATTTTGTGTTCATCTAAAGACCATCTAAATGTGTGGCGAGCTCTAGTAAATACCACAATTTTTGTTTTGTCATAATTTATCTTTAGAGAGTTTTGGGAACAATAAGCTGCGAGCCCCTCCAGCATGCTATGTAGGCCCCTTCGAGTAAGTGCCATGACAGCCATGTCATCAGCATATAGTAATATATTCAGGTGTTTGCCTTCCAGGGCAGGAGCTGATGACTTATACTTTGCCATATGTTGAACAATGTCATTTATATAGAAATTAAAGAGGAACGGCGCTAACAAACAGCCCTGTTTAACCCCTTTCCCCAGTGGCAGTGGGTCAGTATAGTTGCCTGACATCCCAGTTCTGATTTTAACTGTGGTGTCTGAATGTAACTCTCTAAGTATTTTGAGAAGTCGTCTATCAATATCTGTTTCATATAATTTTTGCCATAATTTGTCCCTACAGATTGAATCAAAAGCGGATGTGAGATCTACGAAAGCCACAAAAAGTTTGCTCTTATGTACCTTTGTATACTTATCTATCATTGTCTGTAGTACCAGACAATGGCCTGTTGTACTATGGCCCTTTCTAAACCCTGCCTGTTCCGGATTAAGCAGGTTAGAGTGGTCAGCCCAGTCAACCAGTTTATTTAGCAGGTAGCGAGTGTAAAGTTTATACACAATGTCCAGGAGACTTATGGGGCGATAGTTTGAGGGATCTTGGGGGTCTCCTTCTTATAGATGGGGGCTACCAGGCTCAGTTTCCAGTTTTCTGGGATTTTGCATATATCATTTATTACCGTAAAAAGTTGGGCCAAAATAGCAGCCCACCACTGGGCATTTAGTTTAAACACCTCAGGAGGGATCATATCCTCACCGGGAGCTTTGCCATTCTTGAGTGTTTTAATTAGCTGTAAACATTCTGATTCGGTAACAGGATCCCAGCCCATTAATAGATCGTTTTTAAGAGGAGGAAACTGGCTCGGTTTAGCAATGTTTGGAGCTGTATATAGCCGGGAAAAGTGTTGGTACCATAAGTTAGATGAGATACTGTTGGTTACAATTTTCCCTTTGGGTGAGACTCCCTGGGCAATTATTTCCCAGAACTTTTTGTCATCCCGCAATTTGATCGCTTTGTCAAGTGCCTCCCATTGTTCCTTTCTGTAGAGGGATTTCTTAAATTTTAGAGTATTTTTATAATGAGAACGCCACCTGTGCAGGTTTTCCAATGAGGACAGGGTCCCTTCCTGTTTTACCTTATTTTGTAATTTCCTGAGCAAAGATCTTAGATTCCTACAGTCTTTGTCGAACCAGGCCCTCGAGTTGTTTTGTTTTTGGGAGGGTTGGAATTCGTGAGTAGTGGGAAGAGCGACTCTGAGACCTGCTGAAATGTTGAAAAGGGGTCAGAAATAGATGAGATACACTGGTCTCTCAAGGCCAGTAAGTCTGATGAGTGCAGGTGTAATTTGATTTTAGATTCCAGGTCGCTGTTCCATTTACGCCTACGAAGGGCCAGAGTTGGAGGTGGGTCTGCACAGTGATTGCGGTATTGCGGATCCTCCACACCACGGGGAATTAGTGAAATTGATATAGGAAGATGATCACTCTCAATTCTATTGAAAATCCTGAAGCCCTGTGACCTCTCCAAGAGTTTTGGGGAGACCAGGATATAATCAATAACGCTCGCACCTCTAGGTCCAAGAAAAGAAAAGAAACCCCCTGACCTATCCTTATGGGTACCATGCAAGTTATACAAATTATGTTTGAAGGCAGTCTCCATTAATGTAATGCCTGCCTTATTCAAGACCTTATCGTCTGAGGACCAGGGAATAAACCAATCTGCCTCTGGCAGGAACTGAGATTTAGAGCAGTACGTATTAATGTCATTTCCTATCCTGGCGTTGAAATCACCTGCCAGCAGGATATCCATGCCAGGGAATTCTAGTTCAGCCTTCTCCAAACATAGCTCTAAATCTTCCCAGAGTTGTGACGACTGGGGAGGGGTGCCTATGGGAGGGATATATATATTAAAGCAAAGGAAATCTCCTCCTTCACTGCTAGAAATAAGTAAGATTTGTAAGTTGTTACTCTTCACCCACTGCTGTTGCCGGGCCTTGCATTTTAGCTTGGTAGAAACAAAAGTGACTAAACCACCACTAGGTCGGCCTCGGGATTTTGGTTTTATCGCAGGGGTAGCAAAGGCTTCGTATCCCTGTAAAGAGGGGACATGGAGATCTAGACACCATGTCTCCTGTAGACATAAAATCTGAAATTTTGTAAGGAAATCCAGAAGGTCGACGTCACCCTGCTTAGATAGCCATCCCGCCACATTCCAGGATAGAATGTGGAAATAGGGTGATGGTGGAAATAGTGGTAGTCAATCTCTTTTCCGATGGTTTGAGGCTCCTGAGCTGGGCTCCTCCTCTATCTGCCCTGCTTGGTGGTTCCGGGTTTGAGGTCGCTGGTCCCTAGATAGGTGTGATAACTTTAACTGGGGGGCCAATAGGTTGATTTGGCCCAGAGGATCTTCGATGACACCGTTACAAATATCATGTTGTTCAGCTGATGTATCATGATGTTCAGCTGGTTTTCGCAGAGCAAGGATTTTGCCGACCCGTATAGGCTGTATAGATAGCAGGTCGACAACTGCATCTTGCGTCGGTACTGCTAGCGGGTCAAAATTTGACAAAAGCTGTGGATCTTGATTGCGTATTGGGCTTAGAATAATGGAAGCCTCCAATTCCGGCATCGAGGCATATGAGGACGAGAGCATTTCAGACTGGTCTTGCTTGGGTAGTCCAATGCCAGGCTCGTTGCACGTAGAGACCAGGGTACCAAGCGGGGGATGTAGGAAATCAATTAAGTCATTTGCGGGCAGGCTTGCCACTCCCTGTGGGGTAATAGATCCCGGCTCCATTCCCCCGTCTATTTGTTCTTTATGGCGCACAGGCCCAGCATCAACATCGACAGCACCTATCCTGGTGCATAGCGGTGTACGGGTCAGATTGGTGAATACCCTTGTAAAATAGATGTACCATTTTCTTGTGCGGTTTCTTAATTTTAGAATCTTTGCAACGAAATGGGCAGATCTAAAGTTAATAACCATACGTCTCATATAGGGTCCAGAAGGCAGCCATGAGATGTCCACGATATCTACGGGGCGTAATGTCTGCCCCAGCAGTTGGGTCAGGGAATTTGTGACCGAATGTTTATCCGCCCATTTGTTATAATTCAAGGGGTGGTTTCCCACCAGTACTGCAAGTTTGCTGTTCTGGAGTTGCAGACTTGAGTTTTGTACTTGGTTGGGCAGGCATCTCACTTGTTTTTGTGCAAGGTTGGCCTGCGCACTTGGGCAGGGGTGAGCGGAGTTTGCAATGTTGTTAAGCTGAAGAAGTGAGGGGGGGCAACTGAACAAGCCAAAGGCTTTTTCAAGCTTCTTTTCGATCCCATCCAGCCTTTTATATAAGTTGGTGATGGTATGTGTTATCAACTCAGTCTGGCAGATTAGCAGTTCCAGTGCCTCTCGGTCCTTGTTTAACTGGGCTGGTGACTGGGATAATTCAGGTGAAGTTTTTTGCAGGGACTCAAGAGTCTGTTCCATCTGTTCCTTCATACACAGGCTCGAGGCTAGTTGTGGGCCATCCACAATGCCGGCAGGCTCCTCATGAGTAGTACTGGGAGCAAGGACCTCATGGCTGTTTGCTGTGGGGAAGTTTCTACAGATCTCATTTAGGTCATTGTCAGGCAAAAAATCCCTGATATTTGTCTGTTTTTTGGCAGTGCTCGTAGCTTCATTGGAATGCTGCCTGCGGCGTTTCTTCCCTCTCATGTCGGCAAGAAAATAGGGAGAAAATTTCTCAAAATAATAGGGTCAGGGCAGGTTGTGCTGTTAATGAGCCCTACTCCCTTTAACAGTCTTTATCTGCCGTGTTTTCTTGCAGATTTATGGGAGAAGTAGAAATAATCTAAACCATAAAACTTCTAAAATAAACGCCTTAAGGCATCTTAGAGCCCTTAGAACCCGTCAAAGCAGATAATAAAAATATAGCTTTACCGAGCATAAGACAAGGCTGCCGCTCACGTCGCCATCTTGGATTCCTCTCCATTTGGCAAATAGTTCAAAAAACAAATCAATTTCTATTAATCCTTTAGTGTATTTTCGGTTTCTATGGAAGCCGCCCAGAGCGGCTGGGGAAACCCAGCCAGATGGGCGGGGTACAAATAATAAATTATTATTATTATTATTATTATTATTATTATTATTATCCTTAAATGCATTTACTTTTGTACAATAAAATGTCTTAACTGAAAGGACTGAAAAGATATATACCCTCCTCTAAAAAGACAGTTTGCAAAGTACCTGTCCCAAGTCATGGCCATATTTTATGGGGTTGCAGCCAAGGAAGTGGTGATACTGCACATCTATCTGCCACTCCATTAGCCTGGATCTAGCAGCACTCATTTCATTCGGGTGCTGCAGAGTGAGAGATGAGACACAGAGGCTTCCATCATCATCTTCTCTAGGACCAACTAAAATATTGCTTAAATTAATAGTTTAACTTATTGCAAAGACGGGTAGTGTTCCTGTATCTTTCATAGCCATGCAAAATCGTTGCTAGATTAAAATAAGGTCTACTTGCTATTAGAGGCTCAGTATTGCTGTCTTATTTTGTTGCATCTGGTCACCCTGACTACTCTTTCAGTGTTAATATTCATCACACCTAATCACAAATCAGCTACTGTACATTGCTATGAGATCATTTGCAGATGAGGAACAGGTAGACCTTCAGATGTGACTTCAACTGCCCTCAGCACAAGGCAGCATGGCCATTGGTCAAGGCTGATATGTGTCAAAGTCCAATATGTGGTGAGCCACAGGTTCCCCATCCCTGTGATAACTCTATTAACATTACAATCCGATCTATGTTTACTCAGAGATAAGACCAATTGTGCTGAAGGGGACTTACACACTGTGCATCCAGTGGAAACGGGGCTGCTACTCATTTGTAAATGAAGACAATACAGTCCCAAGCGAGAGAAAAAGAGAGAGCCAACCCCATTCTACTAAAACCTGAAAATATGCAATAAGAAAATCTAAATTATTTGTCTGCTTGTACTTCTCGTTTCATGCCATTTGAGTCAACTCCAAGGGGCTATGGGGGCTTCTGCCCCCACAATAAAAGATTTGAGGCAGCCAGGCCCCACAAAGCTTATAGGCATTCCCATTCAAATGGTGTGTGTGCACTGTGTCATATGATCAAGTATGTGGGGCAGGGCTTACCTGGGCCCCCACAATATCTTCTTCAAGTTGGCACCCCTGTTTCATACTTAATTCAGCACCTGATAATACAGTAAGGTTGTATGATACCCTTCACAATCAAGAAATTCCTCACCCACCTCTTAAATGTGAAAGAAAGTTCTGTGTTAGCAAAGGAGGAGCTGCTTGGTCACCTCAGTCTGTGATTGTCTGGAGCATAATTTCCAAGCCATTCTTCACTTGAGAATATAAAGGCAACACTGTTAAAAAGTCCTTGCAGCCTTGATTGACATTATTTTTAGAATTGTAAGTCTTGTTCATACTTTTGAATTTCCATAGTTCTGTTAAACTACTAGTGAATGGGATAATTAATCCCTTACTGACATATAAGCTTTGGAAATTATTTCTTATGGTAGCTATACTTTGTGTTTCTGAGCAGGAGTTAAGGATGGAGGCTGCCCTCACCTTGATTTTTAATTAGAAACGTGCTATATATTTTTAAAGGAGCAGAATGCTGTATCACCTTAGTCCCTAAAGGCAAATATATCATTTGGGGATATATTTGTTTCCTAGTAGAATAAACAGAACTACGACAGGTTTCTACTAGTTCCAAATGTATATTACCTCATTTCTTCATTCACACTATTAGAGATCAGAAAAGGGATGCCTCTTGGGGGAAGGGGCAGAATTTGAAACAATGTGTTTGATGATGCAAGCACCTTTGAACGAATTGTTTTGAGCAATATTGAAGTGGTCACAATTTGAGGCTGACACTTTTGGACTGTCAATAATAATAATTTCTCATGGGGGGAGAAAATAGCAAAATTTGCATAAAATTTACATATGGTTATTAATATGTATAGATGCAAATTAATGCATTGTCAGTAAAACGTCAATAGAAACATGACATCTCATCATATTGGGGAGGACACTAGGTGATGTGTGCGCCTGCTCAGTCTGCTATCCAGGTGCTTCTGATTAGCAACTTCAAGCTCTCTCTTGTTATGGTTCATCATAATTTTTATACTTGACAGTTCAAATCCAGAACTGCCCTCTTGACAGCTCTTCAAGATACAGTGTGTGGTGGGGAGGGTATGCAACCGAACGGGTACATGTCCACCCTGAACCCACCTCTGATGCTATCATCTAAAGCACAGTGAAATTTGTTGTGTCTGGGGTAAATGGTTAGCAACATACTGGAATACCACAGAGTCCATGTGTACTCCAGTCATAGTTTTGTTGTCATTCAGAACATTTCCAAACATAAACGGTTTCACTTTAAGTTACTGAAACAGTCACTGATAACTGTTGATGAATGTTCCAAAGTAAACAATGCTACTTTCAGGTTCTAAGCCTTTTTCAAGGAAGTAGGCCATGAGCCCCAATTAGAACTGGCAAAAACAAGATCAGATATGTATGCAGCACGGGTTGAGAAAATGACACAGGCTGTGGTGCAGGAGAAAAAGAAACAGCCTCCCGTCACAGGGGGCTGAAGACAATGGATGGATTATAATTGGGGAATATTTCACACACAAAACTGCATTTGCTTGCATGGATTATTGTTATATATGAATTAATGTGAAAGTGAGAGTGAATCTTTGATCTTTGCGAGCTTCCTCTAGGGCCTGGGGCAGGAGCAAGCTTGAATTCTAGAGGAACCAAATAATTACTGATTGTGAAATATACCATACAGCACTGCTTTTCTATGGAAGACTCATATTTGGAACATCAGCTTGTTGCGTGGCAAGACCCTCAAGCCAACCCCCCATTAGCATAAAGAAATTCACACAGACACAGAATTTTTGTTTAAGCTCATTGGGCAATTTTTTTGGCCACAGCTTTATTGATTACAGGAAATGAGAGTGGTATTGGCTTAGGCATTGGCAAAAGACAATATCTGACTCCTGCCCCCTTTGCAGGAAGTCTGTAAGGGTAAACAACCCAAAGGGAGACTGCTTCGGGGGAACCCGCCTGCATCTCCCCTGGTGTTCCCAGAGGCCTGGCATGGCCCTAGCCCCTCAAGTGGACTTCAGACAAGATCTAGGCCCTGGATTCCTTTAACGGAATAACCTTGAACAATGGAAGGACAGGCGATGGCCAACCTCCCCTCCTCCACTCAACAAGAAGCCAATGCCTAACCACCAAACCTTACAAAGTTGTGACAATTGCTAAGAGGCAGGCAACAACCAAGTGGCCCGTGCCAATTTTCCAAATGGAAAAATTCCTACCCGGTCCCTGACCCAAGACGGGCAACCAACTGCTGTCCAAAGCAAGGCCAAAGGACACTTAAATTAAAGGGAGGGTGGGCGGGTGTTCAGCAGTGTGAAGCAGGTGCTTGGCACACATTGCACTGCTGCTTTTATACATTCCCCCATGATGACCATTCAAATTGATTGGCCAATAGCACTGGGTGGTCATGGTGACACCCTGGTGTAATGGTGATGGCTCCACCGACGCCAGGGTGGGGGGACCAGGTTGAGGGCCTGCCTGCAACCAGGGCCATCTATTAAGATGATTACACTTTAAAGACCTGAAAATTGTTGTGCCATAAATCTTATTAAACGAAGGAGAGCTGGAAGAGAGTCCAGAGCCCTTGAAGATAAGACTGTGGAATGATAGGGGGGCACGGGGGGGGGGGGGGCTGCACTGAAAATCAATCAACGGATAACAACACAAAATAAAATGCCTCTTACATATTAATAGACATATGGGTTTGTTAAACACGATGGAAAGTCATACACCAGTGATTGTGAGGATAGGACAATGGGTTAAGATCAGAATTATGAAACTGGGGAAAAACAAGAGAGAAGGAAGCAGGAACAAGTGAAAGAAACTTTCTCCCAACAGCCAGAACATGGGAAGACCTCTAAAAAATTAATTTGGAATGTATAATTGCCTTTATTGTTTGTATTATGAAGTGGCAAGATATGATTTGTTATTAATTGGAATGTTATTAATTGAAGATTAATAAAAATTATTTTATATAAAATTAGTCACTCTCTCCTTGGTAACTCTGCTAACTTTAGATCTGGCTGGGAAATTATGGGTGATTTGGATCTGTAACATAATTCTCAGCACTTCACTAATCTACAGTTTGCACAATATTTCAGGAAAGTCAAGATCAAGGCAGTGTGTTTATTTACTCGCTCACCCACAGTGCAATCCAACAATCTTCCCCTTTATACTGATGGTTATTGAGTACTTAGGATACTTTGTTGTCCCCTGTCAGCAGAGTGACATTGTTCTGATTGAACTACAAGTCCCATCCACTCCCACCAGCAATGCGCCTGTGGGAAATGGCAACACAGGGATAGTTAGAAAGACAGAGTCAGAGTTTACAGTTGAAAGTTGCAGTGATTTGAACCCAATATAAAGCAGCAAGTTGAGAGAAGACAGAGGCAAGAGCAATGCCTGATTTCTGTTTGAATCCAAGGCTGTGGCTATGGGAGAAACAACACCCTTTTGGAGTGGCGATGCTGTGAATCCATCTGTCATAGGCTCAGAACGTATATACAATGGTACTTCAGGTTAAGTACTTAATTCGTTCCAGAGGTCCGTTCTTAACCTGAAACTGTTCTTAACCTGAAGCACCACTTTAGCTAATGGGGCCTCCTGCTGCCGCCGCGCTGCCGGAGTAAGATTTCTGTTCTCATCCTGAAACAAAGTTCTTAACCTGAAGCACTATTTCTGGGTTAGCAGAGTCTGTAACCTGAAGCGTATGTAACCTGAATCATAAAAAACACCACATTCTCCACTGTGCCTCATTCCTGAAGGAAACATGAACCCTGGGTGTGTCCCTGGAATCCCTGAAATCTTGCACCACACATTGCTTATATCAA